CTCCTCCTCCTCCTCCTCCTCCTCCTCCTCCTCCTCCTCCTCCTCCTCCTCCTCCTCCTCCTCCTCCTCCTCCTCCTCCTCCTCCTCCTCTCCTCCTCCTCCTCCTCCTCCTCCTCCTCCTCCTCCTCCTCCTCCTCCTCCTCCTCCTCCTCCTCCTCCTCCTCCTCCTCCTAGGTTTTGGCTTGGACCGACGGGCCACAGGGGACCCGTGTCCCAGCCCCCGCGCCGCCTGCCCGACCTCGGGCGGCGGTATCATCATTCCTCTTTCATCCGTCCCTCCCAAACGCGCGCGCGCGATAGGTCGCCCGCGTGGCACAGGAGGGCTCGCCGCGCGCGCGCAGCCGCTCGCCAGCTCCTGCGGCTGGCCAGCGCGCGCGCCCTCCTGGCTCGCCACCACGGCGAGCACCTGTGCACGCCGCGCGGCGGCCCTGGTGTCATGGCGGGCGACGGGAGCTGCCTCCAGTCGCCGTCGTCGTCGGCTGCGGGACCGCCGTGGCGCGCAGGAGCTCCAGGCGCTGGGAGAGGCGAGCCTGCACGGCCATGTCTCGCCAGCAGGATGTGTGGTTTCAAGACTAACTCAGCAGCAGGGCCACCTGCTGGCAGCGCGGGCGGGATCGACAAGGGCGGCTTCCAAGCGGGGGTCAGCAACGGGCATCGCGTACGAGGTCATCGTCGGCTGCGCGACGCCGCCGTGGCCAGGCAGCTCCTCCTCGCGATGCTGGTGATGCTGGCGCTGATGGTGCACCCGCCAAAGTCGGACGAGTCCGAGGCCGTCGTGCGGGCTCGCACGGCACTGGCGGCCTTGCGAAGGTTGCAGCACGACGACGACCGCGCATCCATCGTCAATCTCACCCGCGAGGCCAGAGCGCTGGAGGCAGAGGGGCGCCGCCGCAGGCCCCCAGACGCCGCCCTGCGCAGTGCCCAGGACCGCATGGCCGCGAAGACCAAGGAGAAGGAGGACACTGACAAGCAGTTGGCGGCTGCCGAGGCTCAAGTCGTGGACCTCCGCAAGCGCTCCGAGAGCCTCTCTGTGGAGGTGGGTGCCCTCCAGCAGGAGGTGGCCGAGGCGAGGACCCCGGCGACGGTCTCGGCTGCTGGCCACAACGGGCTCGACCTCGCGGCCATGGCATCCAACCTGCTCAACCTCCAGACGCTCATCGGCAACGCCCAGCAGTCCGTGGGCGCAGGCCAAGGCCTTCAGCTGCTGCAGTCCATCCACGCCGAGGTGCAGGCCATGAGCGCGGCCTTCCCCGCGGCCAGCGCCTCGGCCCTCGCGGCAGCAGCGGCGGCGGCCCAGGCGCCCGCTGCCCCTGGAGGGGCTGCCGCGCCCGCCGCGCCTGGGCAGGCGCAGGCCGCACCGCCCGCACCCTCGCCGCCGACGGCTGCAGCGGGCACCGCACCCTCGGAGGTGCACGGGTCGTTTCGGCCCACCGACGCCACCGACGGGGACGCCTCCATGGCTGCGCCTGGCCCCTCGCAGTCCGACATCGCGTAGCTGGGCCAGGCGGAGGGCGCCCCGCCGCGCAACGCGCACGAGCACTACGCTCGCTTCCTTCAATGGCTCGTGCTGGAACACGTTCAAGGAATACCTCATCGCCTGCCCGAGGGACGTCGCGGCGGCGGCGGCGCAGGAGCTGCGCATACACGGTCGTGACAAGGCCGCTGCTGCGCTCTGGGCGGCTCGACACGGGTGGAAGCCCTACATTGCGGCTTGCCGCAGATTGGAGTCGGGCCGCCCCACCGCTGGCACTGGCATCTTCATCTGCGACCACATCGAGACGCACATCCTCGGCATGGGCTCGAAGGCCAGCGAGGCCTCTCATGTGAGTTTGCCCTCATGGGCGGTAGCTGCGCACGCAGACGTTGGAATGCAGGGGGGTGGTTCTAGCGCCCGTGCACATGGAGTCTGTCGCTGACTCGGCCTACCTCGCACAATTTTCAGAAGATAGCACGCGTGGGTGAATTCCTTAGGTACTATGACAAGCCGTTCATAGTGGAAGAGGATTGGAATTGCACCCCAGATTTGCTCGACCGTTTAGGTGCGACGCAGAGTTTCCCAGCTTTGTGCGCGGTGTCGCCTGGGGGGGGGGCACCTGCAGGTCTCCACAGGGAAACCACCGTGCCCTTGACTTCTGGCTCTCCTCCCCCATCCATTGCCTCATCGTGTGTGAACCCCAGGTGTGCACCCGATTGTCCCGCCAGGCCTCATTTCCCCATCCTAGTCGACCTGGCTCCGCATCCGCGGGCGGTCAAACAGCTTTGTCTGCAAGCGCCCAAGGCCTCCCGCTTTCGCGGGATGCCACCCTCTGGGCCCCCCCCCCCCGAGCCTCAGCCATACGTGGACCGTATCGCTGAGGACTCGGCCCGCGGGATCCCCTCCGACTCAGATCAGCTTGCCACGCGTCTCGATGCGTTGTATGGTTCTTTACTGTCCATGGTGGAAGCTGACCTGTGTCACATTTATCAGGTGAGCGATAAGGAGCGTTTCAGGGTGGGTCTGACGGCCCTAGGTACGCATGGAGTCATGCAGGAGGAACCCCCACTGGCAATAAAACCGCTAGCGTTCCCGAGGCCCGCATCCTTCGCATCCTTGCTCAGGCCATGGCCGGTGTGTCTTCGGACGCGGAGGATGCGCCAGTTGACGGCGCCCAGAAGGCTAGGAGGCTCCAAAGGGCAATGCGCCCTGGCCATACGCGTCATGTTCACACGGTGGTTGGCAAGACCATATTTCATAGTATCCCCTCGCTGCTGGATGCCTCTGCTGCCTCCGTAGCTCTTGGCTCGAGATCTTCGAGAGCCCACACTTTCTGGCTCCTCCATATCGCCGAGATTGCAGGTGCCCACGCGGAATCACTCGAAAGGGCGGCCGCTGAGTCTCGGAAGAAGGCATTCCACAAGTGGGCGCGTGAGGCCATGATCACATGCCCGACAGGCGTCTTCAGCTACACCAAGGTGAGGGGATGGGCGCATTCATCGTGCCCGTGTAGACCGCTAGGTCTCACGCAGGCTCAGGCGGTCGCCGGTGGCCAGATGGATGGTTGGCGTTCTATATGACAGAGTGATAAGCGTGCGCACGAAGGGGAGTTTGACGCCGACCACCTGACCTTCGCTGATGCAGACGGAGTGGAGATGCGGACGCTACTACGCGACCTGCCTGACGACGCCCTGCCAGTGCCGCAGGTTCAGGACATCCGCCGCGCGGCGCGTTCCTTTCCCTAGCGGACTGGCACAGGTGTCGATCGTCTTTCCCCAGGGCCTTTGACCTTCTGGGCGACGAGGCCCTCGCTTTCATGATCTACCTTCTCTGGGCATGTGAGGTGGCACCGTTGGCCGCCACAGCTCATGATGACCCACATCGCCCTCTTGACCAAGAAGGGCGGAGCAGGGTTCAGGCCCATAGCGCCCCTCCCCCCCCTGTTATCGTATATGGACAAAGGTACGCTTGACCCACGCGCGCAGGTGGGCTCAGAGCAATGCCAGAGGTTTCTTTGCCATGGGGGCGGGTAAGTGCACGGTCGATGCGGCATCAAGGCTCATGGTGCGGTCTGAGGCGGCCGCACGCCACCCCGAGCAAGCTGTCACCGTGTCGGTTGTGGATATATGCAAATGTTTCGATAGGGTTTCCTGGCCGATGCTCCTGGCAGCGGCGCGTCGCTTCGGTTTCTCAAGTTCAGCGATCAGGATGGCGCTTCTGATGTATCGAGCGCCTAGGCGTCTCACCTGGAGCGGCACCTTCTCGTATCTTGTGTCGGCGAAGCGAGGTGTCCTACCTGGCTGTACCGATGCGATGTACCTGCTGCAGTTGCTGATGATTGCGCCGATCGATGCGTTCATGGCGCAGAGGGAGCACCGGCCGCGGCCCCTCGATGTGCACGCTGATGACCTGACCCTGCAGCTGGTCACGCCTAGGCGTGATATCGCCCACGCTGCCACCGACGCGCTCGCGCTCTTGGCGGACACGCTGCGCGACATGGAGCTGCCGATTGCACCATCCAAGGCGAAGGTCATGGGATCGGACATGGAGCTCGCGACGGAGGTGAGTCGACGGGTGCGCCGATTCGGCTTCCGACCTGCGAACGTTCTTTCGGCGCTGGGCACGGAGGTCACAGCTGGGCGGAGGCAGCGGCGCGCTGGTGTGCACGCGCGCCTCGCTGCCATGCGACGGCGGCTACCCAAGCGTCGCCGACTGCGGGGGCTTCGCTCGAAGACTTAACTGCGAGTGACGGCCCCAACGATCGGGCCAGGGCTGACCCACGGCCTCCACGTGGTCAGCGCTCCCCCGCACATCGTGCGCAGAATGACCGCATGCGCCAGAGTAGGGTGGGCTAAGGCGCCAGCTGGATCGTCGACCTGGGCGGCATCGAGGCTCGAGCCCAACTGGAGGCAACACCCTGGGTGTCTGGCCGTGGCTGGTCCTATATGCAACTGGGCCAGAATGATTACCAGCGAGGCTGCCCCCCTCGCGGCGATGCAATGCGCGTGGCAGCTGCAGACCCCGATTGTGCTACGTGCTGATGATCCTTGGCGGCATGTCCAAGGGCCTGCAGGGGCGCTCGCCATCCAGCTGCGGCGGCCTGGGTGCATTGCGTCGTCGGCATGCGCCTGGCGGACCAGATCAGGCATTCAGCTTGACCTGAGGGTCGATGCTCCTACCTGGGCCCGCGCGCTTGCCACCCGCGACTTCGAGTTGGCGGGGTGGCGTGACTGGGCGGCGCGAGAGGAGCAGGCGCCTGAGGACCCTGGGGCGAGGGTCCCGAGAGCACCTGATGGGTACTGGACTGAGCCACTGCGCGCTCTGTTTTGCGAGGCTCGCCATCGTGAGCTTTGGAAATTGTCTCCCCTCGCTCTCGCCTCTCCGAGGTCTACTGCGACTGGCGCTCAGTGGACACATTGCCGTCTGCATCACCACGGTTACTCGGATCAGCGTGCATGTCAAGCGTGTGGCGCCGACAGCGGCACGCTTCACCACCGCTTCTATCAGCGCCCTCACTTGGAGGAAGCGCGCATCGAGGCCATAGATGGCCCAAGTCTGTCGCGCGCCAGGAGTGCGCACACGCAGTGCCCCTTCTTTCAGAGGGCCCTATTTCCCACGTCCTGGCTTCCTGTCTCGAGGCCCCCCGTGCTTTGCGAGTCTTGGGGATTTGTGCTTCGTGGCCCAGGGCCCCTGGATGTCACTGGTGATGTTTTCACGGACGGGTCGGGTAAAACCCTGGCCTTCTGGCCCGAATCGGCACGTGCGGAATGGGGCTTCGCTGTGCTGCAGGGTGATAGGGTCCTCGGCCAAGCCTTTGGGCCTCTCCCTGGGTACCAGCAAACGGCTCCTAGGGCCGAGCTTTTTGCGATGTTGCAGGTCCTGCGCGTCGGACGTCTACCCATGCACATTAGATCCGACCATATTCCCGTGATGGATGGCCCCATCGACCGCGGGCGTTCCTGGTGTCTTGACCATGCCAGAGAGAATTTGGATATTTGGCGCATGGTCTGGCGCGCCAATGACGATCAAGGCGGCATTAATCAGAACTTGCGTTTCTCTTGGGTTAAAGCCCATCAGTCCGTGTGGTCGCAGGATAAAGTTGGAAATGATGCAGCAGACGCTGCCGCGCGCCGTGGCGTGAGGGTTCATGCGTTGCCTCAAGATGTGGTTGATGGTCATGCTGCCTCTCTCCTCCTTCTCCGTCAAGTAGCCTGTTGGATTGCTAGTTCGCAGGAAGCTATGGCCTTGGAGCGTGTGGTCTCGGACCGCACGCAGACGCCACGAAGGCGTAAGCATCAGAAGCCCCCTCGACTCCGTCATCGCCCTCCTCCTCCCCCGCCCTCCCTGTGCCACCGACCCGTCCTGGATCAGGGAACGTGGAGGTGCGCCCGATGCCCTGCATACGCCCGCAGCGAGGCAGGTGCGAGGCGTCTCAGAACTCGAGTGTGTTCGACGGCGACTGCCGCCCTCCCCGTGGCCCCGCCGCCTTCGTCGCCGTCGCTGTCGTTGCCGCGGCTTGAGGGGAGCGGGGAGGAGGAGGAGCAGTCGAACGTCCCCGTTTTCTCTCACCTCACCAGCCCCCGCGTCTCGGACGCGGATAGGCCGAGGGTGAGATTTCGAGACCCCTCTCCTGATACGGATGGGGTCGTTGCCCACCTAGCCCAGAGGGTTACGCGACCCAGGCTGACACCCCCCCCCCCGCGGGGCCGCCCGCGGGAAGAGGAGGATGGTGGGGCGGATGATAGGAGTGTGAGGGCGCGCCTGGGGTCTCGTGAGATGCCCACCTCTCCTCCTGTTGTCCTTGCCTCCCCTCCCCCCCGTGTGCGTGAGCCCCCTGGTTCGGGGCTGCCCCCGTGCAAGCGACCTCGCCTGCTCGACGCCCCTGGGCCCTCGGACGTGTGCGACGGGTCGTCAGTGGGCCCCGTTTCTCTCGACACCATCCCCATGTCGCAGTCCCGCGGCCATGAGATCTACGTCTCTGGCGCGCTTCTGGCATGTCGTCGCTGTGGTTCTATATGTGAAGGTGGTAAGAAGTCACAGTTGTTTGTGGCGTGTCGCCCTGACCTCCTCGAACGTTGCCAGTCCCGCAGATATAAGCGGGACCGCATTTTTGACAAGAATTTGCATCCCACGGTGCCTAGACGGGCGATAGTCACACCACATCCTCTCAAATACTCAGACGATGCTGCTGTCTGGCTGGGTCTCGTCTAATATTGCATGCACTTTCTTATTGCAGACACCTCTTCGGTTGTCTGTGCCTTCGGCCTGGCGTTGATCGTGACGGGCGACCTCTTTCGGGTTGCCCTGGGTCGCAAGCCCCACGCCCTAGGCCTCACTGCTGATCGAGAGTTGTGCATCTATTATTTTCCCACCGCCCCACCACGTCCGTCACCCGAACTCGGCGCGCTCTTCTATCTGGGTCCGTCCTCCTCCTCCTCCTCCTCCTCCTCCTCCTCCTCCTCCCCCTCCTCCTCCTCCTCCTCCTCCTCCTCCTCCTCCTCCTCTTCCTCCTCCTCCTCGCACCGGCGAGCAGCGCAGCCAGGGCCGCACGAAGCCTCGGCCGCGCGGGCGTCCGTGGAGGACGCGTGCCCCATGGCAGAGGCGGCCTGGCTCTGACGAGGCCTCAGATGCTGGGCATGTTTTCCACCACCACCACCACCATAAGTTGGAGGGGGGACGGAGGTGGAGGACGAGGAGGAGGAGGAGGACGAGGAGGAGGAGGAGGCGGAGGAGGAGGAGGTGGAGGAGGACCCCCGAAACCTCCAACGTATGGTGATGATGGTGGAAAACAGGCCCATCATCAGAGGCACCAATGCCACCGCCGCGCAGTCGAGGCGAGTGTCGCAACATCCAAATTTCGTCTGCCATCTGTCATATGCTTCGAGACACACCCGGCCTAGAAAAGGTCTTCGTCAATGGAGAAGTCCACGTTTCGGGAAATGACCGTGTCTCTCCGCTCCTGGTCTCGATCGAAGCCCTGCGGTTCGAGGATGTCCAGTAGAGTCCTGATCTTATTGTTCATGCCCACGATCTTGAATTTCAGCCTCACCATGTCGATGGCCTTGGCAGAACCGTGCAACTTCTGGATTGATGCGGCGAACTCGTTGATGTCGATTGTGCCACCTCCGTCCGTATCGAAGAGGTCAAACAGCATCCGTGGCTCAATGGCCATGACGTCGACTCCGAGGCACTTCAATATGTTCTGCATCTGGAGATCCGTCAACAACCTGTGGAAGCCCTCCCATCCCAACTTGCCAGTGCCGTCCTTGTCGGCTTTGTGGAAGAGAAGTCTCACGTCGCGCACCCATCGCTTTTTTCTGTCAAGCTCGTTCCACATCCGGCAGTCGTCGTCCGCCGCGATGACATGGGTAGCCTTGTCGACAATGATACCAGTAATCGTGTTCAAGACACAGAACGATGCGATCCCGATATAGACGCAGTAAGCCGCTACAAGGGATGGAGAGATCATCAGCAAGGGTTCTGCAGCGTCGTCCCATGACGTCCCGTTCGTGATACTCAAGTACAGTGTGTAAATTGCGCGCGGAAGCGAGCCCCAGTACAAGACAAGCTCTCCAGTCGAGCCTGTCGCCTCATCGGCCAAGTGGGTCTCTACTATCTGCACGAAGCTGACAGCGAACAGGTACATCAGCATCACAAGCAAGCAGCCTGCCCACAAGAGGAGCCTCAGGGAGCTGCAGATGGCAAGGACCATGACCCTCAGCTCAGAGAAGAACCTGATGATTCTGATCACCCGCATTGCACGCACGAGCCTACTCAAGCGGAGAAGGCGAGTGAAGTTTGTCTTGATGAACGAAACGCCCAAGGACGCCGTCAAGAACTCCCAATAAGAGATAGCTACAAGCGTCGTGTCGAAAACGTTCCACTGGAACTCCGGACTCCGTGGGCTGAAGAAAGCGCGCCCCTCGGCCACGATACGCAAGAGCAGCTCGAGGGTGAAAACCACCACAAGGATCTTGTCGAGCGCACGGAATGCCAGCGGCAATTCCTCTCCTGGGTGGTGTACGCCCCAGTCTGCCTGCACCCCGATGAACACGGCATTCGCGAAGATGACGGCCGCGACCGACCACTCAAACAAGGGGCTCACGATGAGCCGCTGACAGCACCGTCGCGTGCTCGTGGCTGCCATCGCTGGCGCGGTCCTCGACGAGTACGGATCGATGGTCGCCCTCGTGCACGACTTCTCGAGCTCGTTCAGGCTGACCTCCTTCTTCATGGCATCCATCGAGAGGCTCCTCATCAACCTCACCAACCTGGGGCTCCCAACGGCAGCTGCGTCATTGTCTGCCTCCGGGTCGACCTCGTCGGACGTGCCGCTCATCATGCTGTCGAGCATGCTGGGCCTTGCGTGGGCAAAGGCCTGGGCAAGGGCAGCATCCGCCTGCGCACCAGCCACCGGGTCGAGGGCGACGCTGGCGGTGACAGGGTCCGTGTCCTTGCCAGGCTCCTCGCGGACGCCGTCTGGACCCGAGGCGGCCCTGGCCAGCGCCTGGGTGCGCCTCTGACTACCTACCAGACCACCCCAACCCAACCCGAAGACCCGAATTTGACCCGAATTTCGGGTTGGGGGGGGTACGGATTCCATGTGTTTTTTCAATGTTCCCCGACCCCCCCCACTGGAACTCGAGGATAAATTTGGGCCTTCGGGTTGGGTTGGGGTGGTTTGGTGGGTGGTGAGCCTCGTCGCGGCGGGCGCCGTGAGCGACCGCCGAGAGCGCCTGCTGCGAGACTGGAGCTCGGGCACGGTGAGGCGCGGCGACGGCGGGGCCGCAGCCGCTGCGGACCTGGCCGGAGGCGGGCCGCCGTGCAGCGCCTGCGTGAGCATGGCGCTGCTCCTCGCCAGCGCCTCGCCGGCAGCCGCCGCCGTGCCGCGGGAGGGCGCTGCGTGCGGCGCCTCCCGACTACCTACCAGACCACCCCAACCCAACCAGAAGACCCGAATTTCGGGTTGGGGGGGGAAGGGTTCCACACGTGTTTTTTCGATGTTTCCCGATCCCCCCCCCCCACTGGAAAACGAGGGTAAATCTGAGCCTTCGGGTTGGGTTGGGGTGGTTTGGCGGGTGGTGACCTCCCGGAGAGCCCAGGATCGGATCGGCGAGTCGGCTCGGCGATCGGCACGGAGCGGATCGGCGGAGAGCGACGGCCGAGCCGGGAAGAGTCGAGTCGGCAGAACCCGGCAGGCCAGTCTGCGTGCAGCGAAAGAAATCGGAGCCCAGATCAGAGTCCTCCTGCTCCTCCTCCTCCTCCTCCTCCTCCTCCTCCCTCCTCCTCCCTCCTCCTCCCTCCTCCTCCTCCTCCTCCTCCTCCTCCTCCTCCTCCTCCTCCTCCTCCTCCTCCTCCTCCTCCTCCTCCTCCTGGGAATCGGAGACCATCGAGATCGGATCGAATCGAGTCGGGGGACTCGGAAGGCGCCCGGCGCCTCCACCTCCGCGCCGGCGCGCAGCAGCTGCACGAGCAGCTCCAGGTGGGCCGCGCAGCCGCTCAGCAGCGCCGGCCCCGGCGCTTCGTCTGCAGGGGCAGGCCGCTCGCCAGATGGGCTGCCTAAAACGGCGCGAAGATCAGAACAAGATCGGATCGGGATAACTCGAAATCTCTGAGAATCGGCGGGTTTGGAGGATGTATTGGGCGCCGCGGCCGCTCCAGAGCGTTCCGGAACGCTCTGAGAGCGCTCCAGAACGCTCTGGAGCGATTTATCCCGATCCTAGCCCTGTTTTACTGCCCGAGGCATCGGGCGGGAATTCTGCCTCGCATTAGGTTGCTCCCATCGCACCCAAGGACCGGCCAGCCCAGAAATAAACTCCGAGCCACCCAGAAAAGAGTATCGAAACGGTGTCGAGCGAGCGTGACAACCCCCACGAGCTTCGGCACTTTCTTGGTGCTCGAAATTCTTTCTGGTGGTCAAGCCGAGGCCACGCTAACGGCGCTGTTGCGTTGCTTAACGGTGATGTTGGGAACCAAGTTGTAGGAAATCATGAAGCGCGCTTTCCTACCTTTCCCATCTGCGAATGCACCGAGCGAGAAAACGACGCAGCGAACTGCAGGCACGCGCGCGCCGCGCGTCCCCTTCAGCACCGAGAAACCTGCACCGCCGCTTCCTACACCGCCGTTGGCGCGCCGAATTACGGCCAAGGCTAAAGTGACTACCTACCAGACCACCCCAGCCCAACCCGAAGACCCGAATTTGACCCGAATTTCGGGCTAGGGGGGGTACGGGCTCCATGTGTGTTTCTCAATGTCCCCCGACCCCCCCCCCACTGGAAATGGAGGGCAGACTGAGGCCTTCGGGTTGGGTTGGGGTGGTTTGGGAGGTGGTGATAAAGTAGGTTGGAACATCCTACGAGGGGGGTGTCCAAGAGGGGGGTGTCCAAGAGGGGGGTGTCCAAGAGGGGGGGGGGGGTGCAAATCATGACCGGCGGCACGTGCGCGGCCCAGCGGGGGGGCCAGGGACGTAATGAAATAAGAAGAGGCGCCCTGAGATCTGGGGAGATATCATGGCCCCCGCCATGATATCCACCCCCCCCTAGTCATTACCCCTCTCTTTTCCGCCCCCGAAAAGTAGGTTGGAACATCCAACGCCTCGCCTCCGCCGCCCCGCGGGAGCATGGCCCCGACTGCCCCGAGCGCAGCGCCCGCGCGGGGGGCGCCGAGCGCGGCCCCGGCCACCGCTCGGAGGTCCACTCCCTGTGCGTTTTCTTTTCGGTCTCGTGCGCGGCTCCCTCGTCGAGTGATCAGGGATCCCAGACCCCCGACGTCATGATTTTTTCATGACGCGACCCCCAGAGGTCCAGACCCATTCCCCGGGACCGGTCTTTCATCCCGAGTCGTTTTTTGACGGTCCCGAGGCCCAGCGAGGGCCCTCAGAGGCCGAAAATAGCGAAAAACCTCGCGTCGTGATTTTTTCATGACTCGAGGGGGTCTGGGATGCTCCTCGATGGTCTTCGCCGAGGGAAGAATGCACACGTCCGAGCGATGCCCAGGGCCCTTTTTCCGGGGCAGGGGCGGCGCGGGCGCGCCCCTCGGGCGCGCCACCGCGGGCCGGGGTCCGGGCTGGACCTGCCCGGGCAGGCTCCTGGCGCCCGCGAGCTAGAGTCGACGTGGCCATGGGAGGAGGAGGAGGAGGAGGAGGAGGAGGAGGAGGAGGACGAGGAGGAGGAGGGAGGAGGAGGAGGAGGAGGAGGAGGAGGAGGAGGAGTGAGGAGGAGGAGGAGGAGGAGGAGGAGGAGGAGAGGAGGAGGAGAGGAGGAGGAGGAGGAGGGGAGGAGTGAGGAGGAGGAGGAGTGAGGAGGAGGAGGAGTGAGGAGGAGGAGGAGGAGGAGGAGGACGAGTGCAAGCCCAAGAGTCATCCACAATGCTGGAATGAGCCAACGATGTTGGAATGAACCCTCCCACCAAGCTCCCTCTTCACAGGCCCCACACAACGGCGCATGTCCACTGAGGAAACTGCCTCGTTGGAAGACAACCGTTTGAAGATCCTGAAGCATGCCGAAACATTGTTCAGGGACTCCAACGCCACGGATCACCCTGGCTGTTGCGTCTTGACAATCCTGAATCGTGCCAGAAGGCCTATCCTGGGACCTCAACACCGCGAGTGTACGTAAATGATGCACCCTCAAAATCCTGAACCCTTCCATAACACTATTCCCGGTACGTTGATTATGAAAATCCGCGAAACTCTTGTAATTTGTGTGTATGCATATATGTGTATTTCCCTATATATATATATATATATATATATATATATATATATATATATATATTATATATATATGTACATACATACATGTATATATTCCTATGTATTTTTACACGGCCGGGGACCCCGGAACAGCGGCACACGGTGCCCCCCCCCCCCCCACCCACAAACGAATTTCGGCCTCCCCGAGCCTTTGGGGCGCTCTTGCAGAGTGCTCCGTGTCTGTCCTGCGAGTGCGACGCGGAAAGGAAAGGAAATAAAAAAACGACGGCCAAAGAGGGCCCCGAAACACCCAAAGATCGGCCCCAGACGCCCAATCTGGGCCCAAGACTGCCCAAGACGCGTCCGAGACGCCCCCAGAGACCCCCAAGAGCCTCCCAAGAGAGCCCCGAAAGGCTACAATTGTTGATTTTCCTGTGTGTTTTTCTATGTTTTTGGCCTTCTCGCTTTTCCCGCTTCCCGACGCTCCACAATGGCCCAAGAGGCTCCCTAGATCGCCCCAATACTGCCCAAGAGGCCCCCAAGAAGGCCCCACCACGGTCCAGGAGGGCTCCGAGACCGCCCAAGAGGCGCCCAAGACGGCCCAAGAGAGCACCAAGACGGCCCCAAGAGAGACCCAAGAGGGCGACCACAAATTCAAAAACTAAATTCTCCGCCGCGAGAGGGCCCCAAGAGGCCCGGAGAGAGCCCCATGAGGCCCCAAGAGGCTCCCAAGAGGCCCCAAGGAGCCCCCAAGAGGCCCCCTAAAGGCCTCAAGAAGTTCCCAAGAACCCCAAAACACCCCCAAGAGGCTTCAAAACTGCCTCCCAGAGGGCCCCGAGAGGCGCACCACGAGATCCCAACACAGCGGTATCCCCCTCTCATTATCCCTTCTCTTCGTCGTCGTCGTCGTCGTCGTCGTCGTCGTCGTCGCCGCACTAATCTTCATTGTCTCCCCCCTCGTCCTTCACCCCTCCCCCCTCCTCCTCCGAGAGAGAAGAACCGAGAATGGAGGATCAAGGTTTTCGGGTTGTTTGTTCTGGGGGGGTTCCCGGCCTGGGGATGTCCTTCAGTATTTGCGACTCGCCGGCAGCGTTTTGGGGGCGCCGGAAACGTCGCGAACGGCCCCCAGAGGCCCGAGTCATGGCCCGAAAACCACGCGGGGGCATCAAGGGAGGAGAAGGAGGGGGGAGGGAGGAGGAGGATGAGGGGGAAAAGGAATGGGGACGGTGCGAGGACGAGGAGGAGGGGGACATGGAGGAGGGAACGAAGACGAGGGGAGGGGGATACGGGGGATTGAGCACCTGGACGCAGTGCCCTTGCCTACCTTACCGGAGAGGGCCGACCGAATCCGAGGAGCCCCTGGGGGATTTCAAAACCTGCACCGCTTCTTGCACTACCTTCGGGCCCCCTTGGCGGCTTGGGAAAAACCGTTCCTAATTCGGGTTTTTTTTTCTCACCCTTTGCCGCTTGCCTCGCAGAGAGGCCGAGCGGCACCGCGCCGCGCCGCCAGGGATGGGGAGAATGGACAAAAAAAGAAGCGGAGAGGGGGGAGAGGAAGAGGAGGAGGAACAGGAGGAGGAGGAGGGGGAGGAGGAGGAGGACAAAGAAAAGGAAAAGGGCAAGGAGGAAGAGGAGATAACGGAAAGTAGTCTGATCCGCTTCGCCAGAGATATGCTCGCAACTCCGACCTCAGAAGCGGTTTGCTTCGCATCGGTCCCGCCGTTTTCGCTTGAGACATCATCGCAGCTCTGGGGCCCGAGACACTCTCAGTTGAGGTGTTCCAGCCACTGTCGCCTGAGACACTCTCGCAAGTCTCATTTCGGAGGTGCCTCACACCATGGTGGTTCGGCCACTTTCGCGCGCGACTTCTCGCAACTCTAAGTTCAAGGATGCCCTGAGCAGAGGTGTTCAGACCACTCCTCGCTTGAAACTTCCTCGCACGGCTGACTCTGGCTATGCCCTCCCCTGAGCGGAGGTGTTCAGGCCATTTTCACCCGGGACGTCCTCGCAACACTGACCTCGGCGACGCACTGTCCCACGGTAGTCTGACCACGTCTGCCTGAGACCCTCGCGCCTTTTAGTGGCGCGATGATATGAGCAATTGGTCAGGCCACTACCGCCTGATATACGCATGTGTATGCGCACGCATAGTTACACTGACCATTTGCATATACATGTACAGATCCATACAAACGTGTATATATATATATATATGTCTACATATGTACTATGCATTCATAGACGCATGTGCGTGCGCATGTACGCACGCTCGCACTCCGCTAGCGTGCGAATTCCAAAGGACCAAGGTGCATGGCGCGCAGCGCCAATGCAGTCTTGTGTGTATATATATGTATATATATAATGTGCAGTTTTGAAAAATCCCACCAGCGCTCTGGGCGACAGGTGATTTAACGAGGGTCTCTGTCCTCTTCCGCAACCCCTTTTCCCTTCGGGGAGGGGAACCCTCCCCCTCCCATCCCTGAGGTTGTTTTAGTTCCGCGATGTGTCGGAGGCTCATTTTTCGGCCATTGGGAGGGCCAGTTTTTGCCACCCCTCACTAGGATCGTGGCCCCCGAGGGGAGGCCTAAATCGAGTACCCTCTTTTGACCGACCACCTCCAAGATGGCTCCAAGAGGCCCTCCAGGGCTCCCAAGAGGCCCCCAAGAGGGCCCAAAGAGCGCCCCAAGAAGCCCCAAGAGGCTTCCAAAAACCACCCGAGAGGCCCCCAAGTGGTTCCCGAGCGGCCTCAGAGAGCCTAAGATGACCTCCAAGATGGCTCAGATAGCCCAAGCTGGCTCAAGATGGCTCCCAAGATGCTGAAAGCGGCCCCAAG